GTCCTCGCTGATACTCGTTCATTTCTCCAATCAATGTGAGACTCCCCAATTCACCTCTTTCGAGGCCCAACATCCATGTTAGCATACTGCTTCATGTCCACCCCACTTCGACGACCATCGTCATTGCAAGCATACTGTCTCATATCCACCTCTTTCAGGGCTCAGCCTTCTTGCTGGCTCACCACCCAACATCTGGCTCTGATACCATCCGTAATGGCCCAAACTCACTACTAACAAATATTACCATATTTGGAAAAGAACACCCCTTAATCCACCCCTTCAGGGCCAGCATCCAAAGAGGTCAATATGCTAGCAATAGGCTAAAGCCGTTACAAAAACAATAATACGAGAGCTCTTAACCTTATTTAAAAAAAGGTTAAATAACTTTTATATGTATATTTTGTTTCTAAATAGGTTAATTAACTTTGAAAATTTGTATAAAATTGAACCATAGAGTTAGTTAATTATTGCAATCTCCAGCCTCTAGTGTCATTTTATAGCATTAATTTCATGAGGTATACATAATAATAACTGTTTGATCAGTATAGCCAAAGATTTTAGAGTTCCTGGAGGAACAGTTCCAAATGATGATGGAAGTGAATAATTAATTGTAAGATCAATAAAAATATATCTCTATAAAATCTGCACAACATGTATACAAAGGGGTTCGTTCACTCCATCAGTTTATACCTTTTACCCACGAAGGGATGCGCGAGGAACAGCTGGTAAACCCAATTCATCCTCAACCTGTGCATCAAATTTAGAACAAAATTCAATGTGAGTGCATATAAAAGAGGCAATTGTAAAGCAAGAACTCACTTACAACTATTTATTTATCCAAATGTTCGTCGGTATTGAGGCCAACTAGCACATCTCAACTATTCTCACTCGAGAACTGCTTAGCCCTAGCTAGACACAACAGTGTACAATCCGATAACAATGTGTTTTTATTGCTGATTCATTGATTGTTCTCTTACTTGCTCTAGTGACTGACAAATGCCAACGGTTTGGTTATTAATGTAACTTGTAGGATATTAAATCTTAGGTAGATGGTTATCACAGCTTGAACTCGACCTTTTAAGTCCCTTATTTGACCTTTATAGACATTTGGTTAGAACTTGCTTAGATCTTTTCTGTGTCAACAGATGCAACATAATTCTATGTTAATGGATGCCGTGTTAAACCCCACGTGCTAATTCAACATGAACGACAACTGCATTCGCACGTCTCTTGAAACTAAACGAGCAAGTTCGGGATTATCGACTCAAAGAAGTTGGATTCATTATATGTCTGAGCTGAAGTTTCAGCAATCGTTACCTGTGCATTGGTTCGGCCAGCAGGAACTGCTGCCTGCCCTGTAGGAGCTGAAGGCAAATTGAGCTCTCCTTCTAAGTCAGATTCCTTGTCCGGCTGGAGATAAGACGGAACCCCATCAGCTTCAGTTTCAAATCCCATGTCTGCTTCCAAGGCATCAAGCTCTACGTTCGAAAAAGGCGTAAGCTTCTAGCGTGTCATGTTTTATCAAATTTGAACATTTAAATGGAGCAATCTTACCGCCCAAAAGTTCATCCTCATCAATGTCATCGGGCACATTATAGCTCCTACCAAGAGTCTCTTGAATTTCATTGCTCACATCCATCATATCCATCATTTCGTCTTGCAAGTTCTGCAGGAAACAACACAAAACCTCTAAAAAAAAAATACCATAATTAAACTTAAAAGGATGCTAAAAAGAGTTGATTTCTACTGACGTCTATGTCCTGTATCCTCACTGTTTTCATCATTCCTTTCAACTCCTTGTTGGCAGATTTCAAGGCCGACATCTGAAAAACGAAGAAGAAAAACGTTAGTTTGACAGAGTTTAGTACCCTATTTGATTTGATAAATACATCCCAGATTTCAATCCAATCAAAAGCTAGACCGATATTTGGAAGAACCATAAGAGAATCTAGATAGACATTTTATTGAACTTCAAGAAATGCCTTCCGAATGACATTTGTCTCCTACCTCGTTATCTCACGAGGTAGGCAGCCGGTTCCAACTAGACAGGAAAAGCTCCACCTGAACTGCCCTGAACTCTGACCTCGCTACGAAGAAAACAAATTTTCGGCAAGAATTAACTGGGGCATTAATAGGAACCACCTCAACCCAAGTTTCTTGGTCATCTGACCCACATTATAAACACAGAAACTAAAATGCAGGATGTCTAGTTGAACAATTAGCATGCAAGAAGCCAATAAGCTATCCGTTTCAATATCCAAAAGTTTCCTCGATCTAACACCAAATCTCTTTCAAGCCAAATTTTTCATGGACAGCCCAATCTTTTCCTTTTTTTTTGGGAGGGCGGCAGAAAATGAGCAACGATGGTCACAAAAAGGATATGTACCGTTTGTTGAGCGTCTTTTATGCCCTCTGAGGCAAATGCAACTTGGTCGAGGTTAAACGTCTGATTGTACAGCATATCACGTTGTCCTTCATACCTGTTCACAGGCATAATAAATAACATAACAACCATATGTAAAGGTATTGTTATGTAGCACTTAGACCAGCTTCCAGTTTCATAGCTAACATTTAAATCTACTAGCTTTCTTACATCAAAATACATGATTAAATTAAGGAAAATAAAAGTCTAAGGGGGCACCGATCAGTGGTTACACAGCAAGAAAACGTTTGAAAAGTGGAACAGAAAAAGGAAAAGAAGAAGTGTGATTCAAAGAATTTTCTGGTAATCTAACGAATTAACTCTTCTTATGTAATGGTAGCTTATAGCCCTAAGACTACAGAACAAAGTTAGATAACAAAACCCCTCAATGAAACATGATTAAGTAAGCATATATGCTATACTTGAGCCATGATACACGAACACCCCTAACATCCAAGCTTCTGCAAGATCTCAAGATCTGAAGTTCCTAATCAATTCACCGAAACCAACACTCCAAAGTATTCACAACCAAACTACTTATCTTTTAAGAAATTGATCAGCAAAGCTACAAAAAGATGTGATAGAACGAAGGGAGCTTACATTCGTTTTTGCTTTAGAACCCTCATCGCTCGAGCCTTAACAGCTTCTTGAGCAGGACCGGGCCTTGTTTTCTTAATCTGCTCCTTATACCTATTGAGTTCGACATCAAGCTTCTTTATCTTTTCATCAACTGATTCGCCCCTTTTATTAATCTGAAAAAGAAGCAACACAGAACGTTCAACCCTAATCAAAACAAATGAATCCAACAAAAGAGAATCAACCAATCCTTCCATAAAATTAAACGCACCAGGAAAAATCAATGCCAACCAAAAATCAAAACCCTAGAGGTAACAAAATTCAAAAAAAAAAAAAATTGAAAAATTACTCTTTCGGAGGCATCTTCAATAGACGGAGGTGGTTCTTTGTCTTTCTTAACGCCAAAAACCCTCTTCATCTTTCTACTCTTCTTCCTCCTCCTCCGCTGCCGCAAAGATGGAGCAGTTCGACGTCGACTAACAAAGACGATGAACAACGCCGGAATGTGGAGGAAAATCCCTTGAGAGAATTTGCTTTCACTGGAAAAATCGCGATGAGAAACTCTTTACCGTTTCTTGGAGCGTTCATAAAAAAGAGACGACCGAGGGAATAATATTCCTGTGCATCCAATTCTATCTTATTGGATGAACTTTAACGGTAATTTATTTGGTCATGTAATCATTTTTATTATTTTATTCGCGCTAAAAAACAACAATATTATTATGATTAAAAAAAATTGCATAAATACCCCTAAATTATTATAATGGTTGCAATTTCGCTAGGAGGGTGGATTGAGGACAATATCTGCTAGCAGTGGATCTAGGTTGTTACAAATGGTATCAGAGCCAGGTACCGGACGATGTGTCAGCCTTCTCGCTGTTTCCCAAAGGGGGGTAAACACGAGATGGTGTGCCAGTAAGGACGTTGGGCCCCAAAGGGGGTGGATTTGGGGGCGGTCCCACATCGATTGGAGGAAGGAAAAGAGTAGTAGCGAGGACGTTGAGCCCCGAAGGGGGGTGGATTGTGATGTCCCACATTAGTTGGGGAGGAGAACAAATCACCATATATAAGGGTGTGGAAACCTTCCCCTAGCAGACGTGTTTTAAAGCCTTGAGAGGAAGTCCGAAAGGAAAAGCCCAAAGAGGACAATATCTGCTAGCGGTGGATCTGAGTCGTTACAAAAGTTAGATGAAAGTGTCCCACATTGGTTAATTTAGGGAATGATCATGAGTTTATAATCTAATAATACACTCTCCATTGGTTTGAGGCCTTTTGGGGAAGCCCAAAGCAAAGTCACGAGAGCTTATGAACAATATCATACAGTTACAGTTGTGTTCGTCTAACAATGTAATCATTTTTATTATTTTATTCGCGCTCAAAAACGACAATATTATTATGATTAAAATAAAATTGCATAAATACCCCTAAATTATTATAATGGTTGCAATTTCGCGTCTTATCTTAATGTTATATTTATATAGTGATTATTTTTAATAGTGACCAATCACATGATATTTCAAGGTTTATGGGTGAAATTGCAATTAGTTTAGTTTAAGGGTTTATTTATGCAAAAAAAAATATATTTTTTAAAAATATAATAATAATTTCATATTGATTTGATTAATTCATTCGAGTTTTAGAGGAATGTATGAAAATCCAATTCGATACAACTATTTATTAACTAATTTAAATATTATTTTTGCCATAACTAATTTAGAAAATTTTAAATACTCGGGAATTTATTTAGCCTATTTATTAAATTATAACACATATTTTGAGAAAATAAGCATTATACATTAATACAATTGAAAATTACACATAGCTTCACAAACAATATAACACTATGCTTCCTTCAAGATCACTTCTGATTGCTTATCAGCAATGACATGAGAAATAACTTCAAAGGATTACACTTCCATGTCTCTCTCAAGTGCCCTTTTCCCAAACCAAAGCTGTGAAAAGGATACAATGCAATGAAGATGAACCATGCCCAACCACAATGGAAAACAACAGAGAATGTGCAATATTATACAGTTATTTAGGTAACCATATACATTAGGCAAGAAAATTCAGGTAAAAATGGCGATAAATGCAGCGAAGACTGGACGGTTTAGCTCGAAGACGTGTTCGATGAAACGTCAAGGTGCCAATCCAAGTTCCTTTCTTGTCTTTCCCACAAACAAGTCTCCAGATTTAATCAATCCAGGAATGCATCCGCTAATTGTCGTGAAAGGAAGTTGTGCAACTCCCTCTTTCCTTCCGAGCGACACGATTGCAAGGGGCGAACCGAGTTTGTATGTAGCTAACTTTCTCTCATTTCCACCCATCAACAACACTTTTAGGTTCTTGGAAGTTATATGAGCATGTCTTTCTGCTAAATAACCTTGTTTGATTTCCTGTTCAATGAATCCAAAGTCATTAAATAACACATGGAGGATAATTAGTATCTGAACAGAAATATGATAGTATGTTAACACATGGATCCAAGTCGAAGCAGAGTTGCGTGCTCTATAACCCTAGTACAATTTATGTGAGATCTCACATCAGTTGGGGAGGAGAACGAAACATTCTTTATATAAGGATGTAGAAACATCTCCCTAGCAGACGTATTTTAAAAACCTTGAAGAGAGGCCCAAAAAAGACAATATCTATTAGTGGTGGACTTGGATGGTTACAAATGGTATCAAAGCTAGACACCTGGTAATGTGCTAGCGAGAGGCTAAGCCCCCAAGAGGGGTGGACACGAGACGGTGTGCCAGCAAGGACGCTAGGCCCCGAAGGAGGGTAGATTTTGAGATCCCACATCGGTTGGAGATGAGAACGAAACATTCTTTATAAGAATGTGAAAACCTTTCCCCAACATACACATTTTAAAAACCTTGAGGGGAAGCCCGAAAGGGAAAGGAGAAAGCTAGAAAAGGACAATATCGCTTGGATTGTTACAGCTTACTTCTCCACTCTTGACATTTTTTCACTTTTCCCTACTTTTTCTTACACCCTCTACAGAAACGATCTGCTTTTAGGACATTCTTTGTAAGCTCAATCACAAAGGACAGTAAACAATAGATTATCCTACGTTAATCTAAAAGGACTGTTTGGATTCTCTATGAATCAACCTAGTGCTAAAAGCCAGAAGCAGTAAAAGTGTTTCAACCAAACTGTTGCATGTATCGATGAGTGCCATGTAGAATTGGCAGTCATCTACAAGATTACCAACTCCAATACTCTTTTTCAGATTTAATCAGATGAAATTTGATTCATAAACAAGATAAATGTTATCTACTTTTAGATATTAATTAGATGCAATAATGGCTAATTAGAAACGTCAAGATTTTCAGATAAAGGACTTGCCTGGAGGTCTGTGATATCTCCAACTGCAAAGACATTCTTAAAACCCCTGACTCTCATGTGCTTGTCAACCATCAGTCTTCCATGGATGTCCAAGCTGTTTGTCAAGACGGTCTCTTTCAGCCACTGCGATCCAATTGGCTTTCCGGTACACATGAAGTGGCAATCGGCTGCAATAGTCTCGCCGCCTGAAGTTCGATATACTCCTTCTGATATAGATTGCATTGAAATAGATTGTTGTAGGATCACTTCAACTTTCTTTGATGTTAACCAGTTAAGTGCCTTTTGGGAAGCCTTAAACCCGACAAATTCCATTAATCTTGAGCCCCGGTGTATTAATTTCAAATTTTTTTCTGGGAAATCAACAGCAATTTCAGCAGCGAGTTCTACGCCAGTAGGACCACCTCCAATTATTAAAATCGTATTGGCAGCTTTTATCTTCTCACATTCTGTATCCAAAAAGAACAAGTTAGCTTGGTGTGCAGAACATCCATGCTGCTTCCAAATCCTACCCCTATACGTTTGAACGAAGTAAACAAATGCGATGGCAAGATAAGGTAGTTGAGCTTCCCCCACATGCCTTTCAGTGAGGATTAAGGCCCTAACCTATGGTGAGATCCCACGTTGGTTGGAGTGGGAAACAAAACATTCCTTATAAGGGTGTAGAAAGCTCTCACTAATAGACACGTTTTAAAACCTTGAGAAGAAGCCCAAAAGGGAAAGCCTAAAAAGGACAATATCTACTAACAGTGGGCTTGAGCTGTTGTAAAGGGTATCAGAGTTAGACACGGGCGGTGTGCGAACGAGGACGTTGGCCCCCCAAGGGGGTGGATTGTGAGACCCCACATTGGTTGGAGAGGGGAATGAAGCATTTCTTATAAGGAGTGGAAACCTCTCTCTAGTAGAGGTGTTTCAAAACCTTGAGGGAAAGCTCGAAACGGAAAGCCCAAAAAGGACAATATCTACTAGTGATGGGCTTGGGCTGTTACAGAAAGAGAAACTTGGTTTAAGCTCCATCTTTTTTAGAATTACTAGAGTATCACATGTATTATGTTTATGCTTCGCCCACCCCAAACTTAGCTCCAAGAGACAACTTTTGAGTTATAAGTTCTCAACCTAGGAGATTGAGCCTAGATTTCACTACATCAAGAAGAATTTCACCAAGAACATTAGAGACATATCATGCTCTTTATAATTTTATCTTTATCCCTGCTCTTACTAAAATTGGATAAAGGCAAACTCACTATAAGAACCTGGCAACTCCAAAAGTTGTTGGTGCAATAATAAGAGGAATTCTGTCTAGCTAATGTACAAACCCCTTGGGACATGGGAAGGAGCCAGTTTTTCTCAGTCAAGAGTGCCTCGTCACTCTGCTACTTTAAGAGATTATTGTAACGGCTCAAGCTCATCGCTAGCAAATATTGTCCTCTTTGGACTTTCCCTTTCGAGTTTCCTCTCAAGGTTTTTAAAACCCGTCTGCTAGAGAGAAGTTTCCACACCCTTATAAAGTATCCTTCATTCTCCTCCCCAACCGATGCAATGTGAGATCTCACAATTGATTGGGGGGTCCCACATCGATTGGAGAAGGGAACGAGTGTCAGTGGAGATGCTGGACCCCGAAGGGGGTGGATTGTGAGATTCCTCATCGGTTGAAGAGGAGAACGAAGCATTCTTTATATGAGTGTGGAAACCTCTCCCTAACACACGCGTTTTAAAAACCTTGAGAGGAAGCCTGAGGGAAAGTCCATAAAGGACAATATCAGCTAGCGGTGGGTTTGGGCGGTTATAATTACAAACACAAAAACAAAATTTTGTAGAGAAAGTTGAATAAAGCAACAGAGAAAAAATAAAATGTGCAAGTCCATGCAGATCCTACAACCGAAATTTTAGCATGGCCAGTTCTACCACAATAACGAACATAAAAATTTCATTTAATCAAACTTTATTCACCTGCTTGGTATTGACTGAGCCTTTCAGTTTTACTTTTTGGAACAGTTTCCTCGTGACCGGTAGCAACGACAAGGTAATCGTAGGGAACTGAAGAGCCATCTGAAACAAAAACTTCGTTGTCTGTGATACTCATGGCTGCAGATGAAACAATTCTTGCATTGGGAAGGTAATCAGTATGATTAATCACTGATCTTTCAGCAAATGACGGCTCCACCATTGACCTCAAACCAGCCCATGAGATCTCAAAATACTCCTTCCTGAGTCCAATCAAATCATTACAACCTTACTAAAAAGTATTTTCTTCAGGAAAACCAAAGGAACACTACTCGAGTTGTTGCAAAGAACGAGATAAATTAAATATTAGAAAAACCATCAGCGATCCGTTACAGCAATTTGTATTACGAAAGAGGATTTCGTTCAACGAGTATAATTCTCAGTTTTAATATCAATAACAATACTCGTGATCCAATAAATCGAACAAGAAGAGAAAAGAACTCCAATAACAAACGGAAGTACAAGCAAGCAAGCTTACTGATCGATTAGCACGACGTCGGCGACAAACTGAAGGGAATGAGCAACAAAAGCGCCGCCGATTCCTCCGCCTACTACCACCAACCTCTTCTTGTCCTCCGCCCCCAGCATTTGCAGGCCTTTCACAGAACTCCTCAGACACATCTTTGAAGCGATTTTAAACACCTCTTCGTAGCTCAAAACTCGAATATCAAAATGCTAAAAAGCCAATAAAGTTGAGAATTGTCTCAAGATCAAGAAATCGGTACTTTCCAGTGGGAAAGCTCGAGATTCCGGCTGATTTCGGGGTTCGGCAAGAGGATTCGCAGCGTTGAAAAAATGGGGGGAAGAAATAAAATGTGAGCTATTGAAAAGTGAAATAATTGGGCTTTGTTGGCGCGCATAGCTAGAAAAACGGTTAGTCTACTGACACGTGTCCATTACGAACATTAATTCCTAGCGATATTTGTTTTTCTGTTTCTGTAACGTTTATTCGTTTTTCTAATTTTAGATTTATTTTTCTAGTTTTTTTTTGTTTTTTTGTTTTCAATTAAATTATTATTTTCTATACATTTGTATTTAATAACAATTTTAATTTATGATTTATTTTTCAAAAACTAAATTATAATAACAAAAAAAAAAAACTAAAAATTATAATTTAACTAATTGTTTATTAAATATGAGAATATTCAAACAAAGCATTCCTCACTTATAAACCCATGATCACACCTCCCCTTAATCGAGCCCACACCTTCGAGGAGGCTCCACAATGGTATGATATTGTCCACTTTGAGCATAAGCTCTCATGACTTTGCTTTGGGCTTCCCCAAAATGCCTCATACCAATAGAGTTAGTATTCCTCACTTATAAACTCATAATCATTCTCTAAATTAGCCGATGTGGGACTTTTTTTTATCTATTTATAAACATGTAATATTCAAGTTTGAAACATTTGTTAGGTTTCTTTCAAATTTTGTTTTTACCCTTATCAACCCCACAACACATTCTAATTTAGAAACATTTCATTTATTTATTTTCATACAAATAACAAATCATTAAAATAACAATTTAATTTTTTTAAAATAATTTAAAATGCGTTTAAAAAAAATAATTACAAGTTTTAATTAATTACCTATCATTTTTTTAATCTATTTTATCTATAAACTTTAATAATAATTTAAGAGTATGAGATATCTAAACTTTTAATTTATATTTAATAAGTGATTGAAGTTTAAAAAATAGTTAATTAATTCTTAAATTTTAATTTTTCTTTCCTTTTAAATTTTATATCTAATAAATTATAAGCTTATTTAATCTATATTAATATATACTTTATTTTTTTTATTTGTTTTAATTTTAATTTTAATTATGTCGATTCTCGAATTTGCACCAAAGTTATTTATTTTTTTAAAATATTAAAATTAAAGTACGTAAGAAAACCGTCCCACTAAAAATGTAACTTGCCGTGTATGATATAACAACAGCTCCGGACAACGGACTTTTCTACTTATTGCTGCTTTTCGTCTGCAAAAATCATCTTCGAACTCACAGCCAAAAACTGATCTCCGATCACATTCATGGCGGCTGACGACGCTGTGGTTGTAGTGAACGGTTTGAACTTCGAGCAGAAGCACGGGAAGGAGCGAGTTCGAGTGGCTCGGGTATGGCGGACTAAAGATGGCCGTCATTTCATCGTCGAATGGAGCGTTGGCATCAGTCTTATTTCCGATTGTGTTGCCGCTTACGTTAGCGATGATAACTCCGAAATCGTTGCAACTGATACTATGAAGAATACTGTAATTGTTTTCTTTTCTATGCTCTCATCGTTTCATTGGTGATTTTGATGGTTTGTTGATTGTGTTTCTTGTGTATCTGTTTGGTTTGAGTGAAATTTGTGATATCGAGTAACTTCTGATCTTGAGAAGTGTTTCGGATTAGTAAAGCGGTTCATCAATGGAAAATTTCTGAAGGTAGGGTTTGGATCTTGAGTTTCGGAAACAGAGCAAAGCGCAAAAAGAGCCTACGCTTTTTTATGATTGAGAAAAAATCGAAGCGAGGGATTGATTTGACGGTGCGGTGCTGAAAGATGGAAAGTTATTGTCTGGAGTTGGAATCTTGAACAAGACGGAATTAAACCTTTCTGCATAATAATCATAACAGTTCACTATTGATTTTTTTGGTTCTAATATCGTTACTCGCTTTACGGTTAAAAGTTAATGGAATTTATGTCATTCAGGTATACGCCAAAGCCAAGGAATGCTCTGATCAAATTTCAGTGGAAGATTTTGCGATTCTTCTTGCCAAACACTTCACATCATATTACAAGCAGGTACATCCCATGTTTCAACTTATATTCTTAATTATTCGCGTGTTTGGCACTAATTGAAGTTGTAATAGTGATCTTCATTTCAAAGCTCTTGCATGATCACTTAACCAGTTCTGGAACTTCACTATAGCTCTAGCTCACATGTTTTTATTCTCTTGCTCTACATTAAGACATTGGAGGAACTTATTGTCCTTCGTGTTTCATAAAGATTACATAATTATTGCCGTTCAAGTGGAACCATTGTTTTTTCAATTCCAACAAGTTCATTTTTAACCTTGAAAAATGGGGGCAAATTCTTGAAAATGTCATGTGTCGTCGAGCTCCTACAACTAGTGATGAATTATCTACATAATTTGAGGTTTTTATTGGTAGATTTCCTACCTGCTTTCTGAATCAAGAACCTTGTCCTTCAAGTGTTAAAAAAGATTTGCTGAGTCTGCCATTATAGATCTATTCAGACCTTTTTTCTTTAGAAAACATACAATCATGGATCAAATATGACCATAGTATTTGAGATGTTCTCTAGATGCATGCACCAACAGTAAATAATCAGTCCACTGAATTAGTTACATATTGGCCGGACAGAGTAAACATCTATCCACCAATTTCCAAAAAACGATATTTCTTGCTTCCTTCTCGAACTTCTTCATTTTTATCTTTTCTTCTGCTCATATCCCTTTTTCCTCATTGCACATTTTGCTCATCCTCGGGATCTTTTTCTTCTTATTATTATTAGTTGGTGCTAAAAAGTCAATAGATCCAAAGATGTTCTCTGATATGTGCAATTCATGTTGCAGGTTACTACTGCGGTAGTGAAAATTGCAGAAAAGTCATGGGAGCGTGTATCTGTCAATGGTCAACCACACAACCATGGTTAGTTGTTCTTCTTTGTTAAGTTTGACCACTGAATAATTCTTAATTCTTATAGACGATCGTTAAGAACTCTTTGCTGAGAACTAACTTTTATCATTACATTCAACCTTTGCAAAGATATTGAAGATGTTGAAATATTTGGTTTAAAGATTTTTTTTTCGGTTGGAAACAATAACATTTAATTGATGTGATGAAATTATAAAAAGATGAGATTCTATCCAATGGGTTATAGAAAAAACTTTTCCGTTTGGTCATGGGAGTAGATAAACTGTAATTACAAAAGGGAACAGGAGAGAGATAAGAAAGTTATAGAAGTGAGGAAGGATTGAGCATCTTTCTCCTTTTCTGTAGAACTTCAAGTTAAAGTTATGAAGATTCCATTGTTCAATCTTCCTTATCTGCGAATTGGAATCTCTGAGTTCTTATTTTATTCTCTTGCATATATTATTTTATTGAAGGCTTCAAACTTGGATCTGAAAAGCACACTACAGAGGTGATATTTACGAAGTCAGGTGCGTTACAAGTGAGCTCTGGCATTGAGGAACTATCTTTGCTGAAGACAACTCAAGTAAGTCTGCTCTTTTAAATACATATTCAAAATCCATCACTATATACAACTCATGGTTATATAGTGATGTCTTTAAATTGAAGGAGTGCTAACTGAGATGCACCAGTTTTTCTTATTCTAAAATCTTGTCTCATGCGTTTTTTTTTTTTTTTTTTAATAATGAAAGCTATTTTATTTCATCTATCAGTCAATTAAGCCACTTCTGCATAGTCTACCTCATCAGCTTCGCGTCATCTTCTCTCTATCCTTTATCAGCACTACACATTTCTATACCTAAAATTCACCCTTCATATCCAAATCTATTCAAACTCAGAAGTACCCTGAAATTTTCCAAGGTCAAAGGTCTATTTAGCTGGTTCAGACGCAGCTGTGTCCGTATATAGTTTAGAGATTCTCCTCATGGTTACTTTGTTCGAGGGCTCCAAAGAAAGGAGTCAAGCCTCGATTAAGGGGAGACTGTTTGAGAGCTCCATAAGCCTCAGGGGAGGCTTATAGTGTACTTTGTTCGAGGGGAGGATTGTTGAGGATTGTTAAGGATTGTTGGGAGTGAGTCCCACATTGGCTAATTTAGGGAATGATCATGGGTTTATAAGTAAAGGAATACATTTCCATTGGTATGAGGCCTTTTGGGGAAGCCCAGAGTAAAGCCATGAGAGCTTATGCTCAAAGTGGACAATCTCATACCATTGTGGAGATTCGTGATTCCTAACAGTTCAGGCATTAGGAGCAAATTATCTGAGAAACATCAAGAGTCAGATTTGATTGAACATGAATTCTCCTTGAAGTCTAAGCCTTATGATTTTATGATTACAATCTAAAAGCCATTTAATGTAAATTACTTAGCTGGCATGATTAGCTTTGATGTCACTCAAGAAGGATTTAGTGTATCCTGGGGTAAAGTTTCCTTTTAATCAAGAGTTGGCACTTGATCAACTTGTAGAATACATAGCAGACAAAAATTTCAGTAAATTTTCTACTAGTAGATGCTTTTTAGATATCTTATATTTTTGCTATTTTCTCTCCGAACTTTATCGTGTGAGCGAGCAGTCAGGTTTTGAGCAATTTTTTTGGGATAAGTACACAGCTCTTCCTGAGACACGAGAGAGGATATTGGCCACCAAGGTTTCTGCTTCATGGAGGTATATTCTTTAATGATCAGACTTTTGACTGAGAACTAATACCTTCTCATATAGCTTCTGGTTCTTTTGCCTTATTATTGTACAGGTAGAAGAGCAATCAATTCCAAGTATTTTTGTTTGGTTTCTTGTATTTGGTTCACAAACAAAATTTATATACTTTGATGCAGGTATTCATTTGAATCTGTGTCTAGTATCCCTAAACAGCAGTGTTACTTCACGGAAACATACCTTGATGTCAAAAAAGTGTTAGCTGACACCTTCTTTGGTCCTCCAAAAGAGGGAGTTTATAGCCCATCTGTTCAATACACTCTTTATGAAATGGCAAATAACGTTCTCAGCAGGTGAATGCTCAATTGTACTAAATTCCTTTAAATGTTTGAACTCTGTTAATAATTTTTGGATTTCCACTATTTTAGGTTCCATGTTATATCAACAGTGAGGCTGAAAATGCCAAATCTCCACTTCTTACCTGTCAACATATCAACAAAAGATAATCGGAGTATCGTTAAGGTAAGAGTCTGCTTACAACGGTTCACTTTTAGTTTTCCATATTTATTGAAGAGGTCTAGGCTGCGATCTGATAATCTATGTGCAACCCTGCTTGAACTCTCAAACTTATTTTGAGTTCATGCAGAGTTCTTGCTATCTTTGTTGCCAATCTCCTACTCATTTCAGTTTCTTTCTTCCTTAAGAAACCCATCCTTGCATCATCTCTAGATATATGAAATTTGTTCTATTAACTCTCTGGTTAATCTTGGCAATAATTTATTAAATACATGAGAATTTCTTGTGTTTCTTAGATGGACGTCCAAGTTCTTTCATTCAGTGTCATTGCTTATAATTTACATTCATTCTTCCTTTTTGCAACCCTTTTAATAATGAGTTTAAATTTATCACCTATGTTGGATAAAATTTACAGTTCCGTTAGCCTACTCGAAATATAGGGCCAAAATGACTTTCTAAGTGCTTAAAAATGTGCTTAAAAGTACCATAGCATTTTCTAAACTCTTTAGAAAGTCATTCCAAAGTAGCTCGTAATCTCACATCTTGTTAGCATCAACTACAACCATCATTATACTTGCATAACTAAAAGTGGAGCTACATAGGAACTATATCACAAAAATAGGAAGAAAAAAATCTTACGGAAATGAATGATGGTGTTGTTTTGCAGTTTGAGGATGATGTGTATCTGCCAACTGATGAACCCCATGGATCAATTGAAGCTTGCTTAAGCCGCTTATCTTCAAAGCTTTGAGGAAATTTAAGCATTTTCAGTGTCAAGAAGGTCAGAAGCCAGGTTATGCCTTTCCATCTCTAGAAAACTTTCTGTATAACTCTGAACAAATCCTCTCGCTTTTAAGTTTTAAATAATGATGAACAATGCAGAAGAAATGTTTATTTAAATTAGAGGGTTGATGATGCCTGTTTCTCGATTGTTTGTGTGTCCGGGACTAGCATAATCCCAGGTCGGTAGTTGCCATAGAGTGAACTCTTCCTTTTAAGCCCGATCTCAATTTTCACTTTCATGAAAATAAGTAGGACTAAATGCAACCAGTTGTTTAAAAGATTATTTATAAAGCAACATAGTAGGTTGGTGGTTGGTGGGTGGGTCCAACACTTGTAGCAGCGAGTAACAAACAAGTCCACCGTGAGAAATTCAGACTTTGATGACAAAGTCAACCTATACACGAGACTCTAGACATGTTAGAGATAAATGTTTTAGAAAATGTGAGCGAGTAAATACGTTGAAAACAATGCTATAAGTTAAAAACAAGTAGGTAACAAGAACAGTTTCGATAGCATATAATATGGGTAAGAAGTGAACTAGTCATATCCCTCTATATTACATTTTGTGTGCTACTTGTTCTAATCCAACGAACAAGTCTACCACGAGAAATTCAAATTTTGATGACAAAGTCGACGTATGCTCAAGACTCAGAGACATGTTTGAGATAAATGTGTTAAGAAAATTGAGCGAGGAAATACGTTGAAAACAATGTTATAAGTTAAAAACAAATAGGTAACAAGAACGGTTTCAATAGCATATAATCTAGGTAAAAAGTGAACTAGTCATATCCCTCCATATTACATTTTGGTGCATTTTAACTCTTGCGGGTGTAGACATGGTTTTAGTGAACAGTTATACAGGTATGTAAAAGTTTATCTAAGAAAAAAGTATGTACAGGGGTTTAGAACATATTAATGGTCATAAACAACTCGTTCTAGACAAGCATAACCATTACAGGTTACCATAAAATAGATAACTTAAAAATAAACAGAGAATATGACCTATTTAGTATAGAATTTTGACATCGGTAAATTTCTTTTCAATGTTTTTATTCGGTAACATTATTATATTTTTAATGTTAGATTTATGAATGCATAATTATTTAAAAAAAAGAAAAAAAAGAAAAAAAAACAGTATTTCAGATTATAAATTCATTTTATTTTTATTTTTATTCAAATATGTAAAACATGATATATCATATTGTAAAACAATAATGATACAAAATATGTTAATAAATTAACCCACACTAATTTAATTAATAGCTAAAACTATATATATATATACACACATCACAAATACATATTCTTTATTTTTATTTTTTAACTTTTTATAACTATTATTATTATTAACTTTATATTTAAAATCGCTCTCAAATATATTTTTAATTATTTAAAATTACGGTATGATATAAAAATTGTGTTTGAAAGTGTAAATTAAAAGGAAAAAAAGTGAGATTTAAATTCCAAACTTCTAAAATTCTCGGATGATTCCCCAAATCCACCGCCATGGATGATCTTCACCACACAGATCGACCACTTCCCGATCCCAAACGTTCTCAGTCTCTCAAATCCCGACCTTCTTCTGTGATCTTCTTCTACTGTTCATCCATTCTCATCCTCCTCCTATCAATTTCCCTCTTCACTTTCACCAAAACAGATCATTTCAAATCTCAATCTCTTAAAACCCTCTTTCAAAAGCTCATCGATCGTCTCAACGCATCTCGAAATCCCAAGCAAACCTCTGTTTCTAATCCATTTTCGACGTCCTCTCAATGTGTTCTTTGGATGGCTCCATTTCTTTCCGGCGGCGGGTACAGTTCAGAAGCTTGGTCCTACATTTTAGCCCTTCACGATCATGTAAGAAACCCTAATTTTCGTTTGGCCATTGAGCAACATGGCGATCTAGAATCCGTTGATTTTTGGGAGGGCTTACCGGATTCTGTGAAGAATTTGGCCATTGAACTTCATAGAACAAAATGTAGAATCAATGAAACTATTGTGGTTTGTCATAGTGAACCTGGTGCTTGGAATCCTCCTTTGTTTGAAACTTTTCCTTGCCCACCAGGTGTTTACCAAAATTTCAAGTCAGTGATTGGCAGAACAATGTTTGAAACTGATAGGGTAAGTCAAGAACATGTTAATCGTTGTAATGAAATGGATTTTGTTTGGGTTCCTTCTGAATTTCATGTCTCTACATTTGTGAAAAGTGGGGTTGATCCTTCTAAAGTTGTGAAAATTGTTCAACCCATTGATGTTAATTTCTTTGATCCATTGAATTATAGTCCATTTAGTCTTGAATCTGTAGGAACTCTTGTTCTAGGAGACAAAAACATGGCAGAAGTAAGCTTAGAGAAGGGATTTGTGTTCTTGAGTATCTTTAAATGGGAATTTAGAAAAGGTTGGGATCTGTTATTGGAAGCATATTTGAAAGAATTCTCCAAGAATGATGGAGTTGGGTTGTTTTTATTGACAAATCCTTACCATACTGATAGTGATTTTGGGAACAAGATTTTGGATTTTGTAGAAAACTCAGGCATTCAAAAGCCACCTTCTGGTTGGGCTCCTGTGTATGTGGTTGATACTCATATAGCTCAAACTGATTTGCCTAAAGTTTACAAGGCTGCAGATGCATTTGTTCTGCCGTCCCGAGGAGAGGGGTGGGGGAGGCCGCTCGTCGAAGCGATGTCGATGTCGTTGCCCGTGATCGCCACCAACTGGTCGGGGCAAACAGAGTTTTTGACAGATGAGAATAGCTATCCATTGGCAGTTGAGAAAATGAGTGAAGTGAAGGAAGGGCCATTCAAAGGGCATCTGTGGGCTGAACCCTCCATTAGTAAGCTTCGAGTTTTAATGAGGGAAGTAATGACCAATGTCGATGAAGCTAAGGCGAAAGGGCGGAGGGCGAGGGAGGACATGGTCAGGCGATTCTCGCCCGACGTCGTGGCCGAGATTGTTCATAGTCATATACAAAGGATTTTTCAGGAGGTGTGATGACAGATCAGATGTTTATAACCAAGATTTCATTGGTTTTGTTTGTGTTTGATTTGATTTTATCAAGTTATGCATAGTTGTAGATTTGTGTAGCAGTGAATATAAGTAGTAGCAGATTGATATGCCTCAGTTGAATGGATTTCCATCAATAAAGCATTTGTTAAATGTGTGGAACAATGCTGATGATCAATAAAATTTTAATACAAATATTCAAATTATAATTTTATTTTATGATATTTGTTAGAGTTGCAATAATTTTTTTAACTCGATAAATAGAGATTGAATTGATATTTCTATTATAGTAATATTTAAACTAAATTGAAAATAGTTCTAGTTTTTTTTTTTTTTTTTTTTTTTTTTTTTTTTTTTTTTTTTTTTTTTTTTTTTTTTAATAATAAAAAACTATACAATTATTTATTTACATTAAATTTATTTGCCGAAATAAAAATGGGTTGCCTTCGTAGTTTAGATCTGATTTATTATGCAACAAATAAAATTAATTAGCTTTGTTAATTTGATATCCATTTGTTGGGTTTTCATGAATATATTTACTATGATTCTTTTTCGAACTTCGTGAATAATAATTAAACTATCGACCTTTTCAGATGATAATTAGCGTTTATGTTATATTGAACTATGATAATTATTAGTGACGTGTCGATGGCTTACTAAGTTACTATGATAATTATTAGTGACGTGTTGAAGGCTTACTAAGTTGCTATGATAATTATTAGTGACATGTCGAAGACTTACTAAGTTACCTTCAAATCTTCTCGATCATCAAATTAAAAAAATTAGTTCATCAAATTTAAAAAGCATCTAATCCTATATTTTTGCCATATTAAAAGTTTTTCATTTATTAGACATCATTTTGAATGGTGTCCAATGAGATTTTAGACTTTCAATTTGGTGTTTAATTAATTTATGAATCTTAAAAAATGTCAAACCGAAATTTGACAGAAATAAGAGAATACGAGGTAGGTTTTCAAAGGAGTCGAGTCATGAGGAAGGAGAGGTTGTTTGAAGACTCTATAGTGTACTTTGTTTGACGGGAGCATTATTGTAAATTGTTGAGAGGAGTCCCACGTTACCATGAATTTATAAATAATGATTACATCCCTATTGGTATGAGACAATTAGAGAAAATCAAAAGCAAGTCCGCGAGAGCTTAGGCTAAAAGTAAGACAAAATCATACCATTGAGGAGGTCTGTGGTTTCTAACATCAACAAAGTTTGATTTTCGTTACAATTGATTATTAACAAATCAAATGCTAATCAGTACAATTAATAATGTCTGTAATTGTGATTTAAATAACAGTAGAGAAATATCCATCTTCAAAACTGCATAAAATCTTGTTCCCACTGAGGAAAACATGAATTATTCTCAAATATATGAGAGCATTCTACATGAACTTATTTGCAACAATCTCATTCCAAGAACACAACCCTATAACCATTCAAGAAGGAAGACTACTTCCCCAATCCAGCTGGGTTGTGACATGTTTTTATTTAACTTTAGTTCATTCAACTAAAGAATTAAACCAACAAATCGAAAGGGACAAGTATAAATATTTGTAGTAGAGAATAAAATTACTCGAGATGGGGTTTGAATACCGTTAGAACGTCTTTGTAAACAGGTTTCTTGAAATCTACAGCCTGCATGATAGAGTTCGAATGTAAGTTGAATTATCCAACTAGTTATTCAGATTATTGTTTTTTTTCTCAGCTTCTTTTGGTTAATGATATGTTAATGGCATGTCTACTCACACGTTCGACTACTTGTTCAGGTGACATCCATGACCATTCGCCGAACTCGGGTTTCTCAGTCCCATCACCTAAAAGATTGATCTCTTCGTCACTTCCAGTCAACTTCAGCAGAAACCTAAAATTTTACAAACATTTGAACATGCTGAGAGTAGCAGATATGCATAATATCATTGAAATCTAATTGATGAGGCAAATGGAAAGGGCCTTGGCAGGATGAGAAGAATATGATAGACAAAAGGTGTCTAGCAGAGACACCGGGAACATCTTAGTAGAAATACTATTATCCATTCACTGCGGTGGATCTTGTTTTCTAATATATGTATCTTTAATGCCAACATGAACATAGCTCAACAGTTAAGACATTGATTCTATACTGTGTACGCCAACATGAACATAACTCAACAGTTAAGACATTGATTCTACATGGTGTAGATTAACATGAATATAGCTCAACCGTTATTAGAAGGAACAGGGTTTTGGCAAGATTGATTCTTTTTTTTTTAGTAGGATCGGCATTGAGTTATTGGTAACCAGATAAACCAGATAAAACAGTGTATGTGGAGTGTGGATTTGGCTCTGAAGAATATGAAAGGAACAAGAACTATATGAATAGAAAGTTGAACTCACCACTTCTGCGCTTGACCCTTCCAGTCAGAACCCCACTGATGTCGAAGTTTTTCCCGGACATGAGGTGGGAAGTCATAAGTCAGCCAATAAGGTACCTACTTTAAGAAACCAATGTTCAACACATTTCACTATTGTACTCAATTAAGGTAAACATAAGCTTTTATTCAGGAAAAACTCCCAAATGAAGAAAAATATCAGGCGAATTTACAACTTCAGTAATCCACATAGTATGCACGTTAAAACTACTAATACAGAAGGATCTATCGTTCAACAATCATACTACAGGGTCATTGAAGAAACAAGCCACATTGATGGACAAATATTAAACAACCAAGTCATTGAGCTGAGGAGATAACTAGTAAAGTTCAGAATATTCTTTCTCCATCTCCAGAGATTAAAGAAAAAGACCACAATGGGTTCACTCAGTTGGCAAAGTAATCATAAAGAAAAAGACCACCATGGGTTAAACTTATATCCTTCTAAAATCTAGATTCAAGTCACAACGGCTCAAGCCCGCTGCTAGCAGATACTGTCTTCTTTAGACTTTCCCTCAAGGCTTTAAAACACATATGCGAGAGATCTCCACACCCTTATAAAGATTGTTTCGTTCCCCTCTCCAACCGATGTGGGATCTCACAATCCACCCCCTTCAGGGTCCAGCATCCTCACTGACACATTGCCTCTGATACCATTTGTAATGGTCAAGCCTACTATTAGCAGATATTATTCTCTTTGGGGTTTCCCTTATGGGCTTCCTCTTAAGGGTTTAAAATGCGTCTGCGAGAAGTTTCCACACTCTAATAAAGAATGTTTCATTCTCCTCTCCGATCGATGTACGATCTCATAGGATGGCTATCAATGGTATTTCAATAATCAAAATGAGCATACCTCGACAATAATTGACATGCCCTCTTTCCCTTGAGGTTGGAGGTTTAGATACTCATACCTCTACATTGGTTGTACTCAAAAAAAGAGAAAACAATGATATTTCAATATTCAACGAGTTATTCTTTCAAGTGGTATTGAATGTTATAAAGCAAAACGATTGTCTAGTGACCCTCTCATTAGTTGATAAGTCTTAGCACAAATAGTTTGTCATAAAGAAAAAAAAAATGTAAAATGTGATTCAATTATGATAAACCAATTCTATTTATTATAAATTTGATGGTAGAGTGGATAACGAGAAAAGCATCAAGTTTACCCGTTTGTGAAAACAGAAACAAGCGCAATATTTTAGAAACTGGATGCTGTTGATATCTAATTTCATTTGAACAGCCAAGATCTTTCTCCAAAAATAATCTTCCTTCATTTTATCAATTAGAAGAACTAGGTTCATGAAAAATGTAAGAACAAGTTCATAAATGAAATAGTACTTCAGCAATAATCTCTGCGGATCTAACTCCTGTTTCTTCTCTAAGTTCTCTGATGGCTGCACTTCTTGGATCTTCACCCTCATCCACGCCACCCTAATGAGCAAGACAGAGCGAAAAACTCATGATGAATAAAACATACAAAACGCTCAAGACCACAGTAGATGATACCGTTTCATTTCCGTGCTGCTTAATTATGCTTCAAAGCCAAAATTTCAGACTTAATGAAAACATCTTATCGAATATACTCTTCATAAAATCCATACGCGATAATTGGACAAACGTAGCCCTAAAACGGGCAATGTAACAGAAAAATAAAGTACTAATTCATCATTCAAAGCTCAGAAATATGCTGCTTTAACTTTGAACTTCCGTACAAAAAAGAAAAAAAACAAAACAATCAACAATAATCATAACCTAGAAGCAGACAAATCATCTTATTACCTGTGGCATTTGCCAAGCATCTGGTATATCCAACCTTGAGGCAGCAAAAATCTGTACATACCGAATTCAGATCCACGTCACGGATGAATACTCGTAAAAATGTAGAGAAATAGAGAGATTTCGAGAATGACCTTCTTAGAAGAATTGACGAGGCAAATGCCAACGTTTCTGCGGTAACCTTCGGGAGGAGCTTCCATGGATGACGAGGTCGAACGCAGAGCAGTTGAGAAAAGTGGAGGAGGACGACGATGATAGTGAAGAAGTGAATGATTAAAGACGACACATCGGCTTATGGCCATCCCTTTCCCTCCCCAATTGGCGTTCAATCGACGCTCCGCGCTTCATTTATTCCTCAGATTTAAATTCCCTTTTTACCCTCGTGTAAACAAAAAAGTAAATTACAGTAAAAAAAGTTTAAAATGTTTTTGAAAATACCTTTTTAACCTTTCAAAAACGTTAAAAAATATATCTATACCGTTAAATTTTAGACGTAAAACGTTAAATTTCATTAATATATTTTTTTTTACCTTTTAATAATATTTTTATATAATTTAGAAAAAAAAAATTATAAAAAAAACGTTTCAAATGCTTATCGTCTTTTTTCCTATCTTATTCCTCTATCACGTTTTTAAATCGCATGAATGAGCATTTGAACTTACGCGATGAAGTGAACGATAAATTATTTAATTTTATTGGTTCTCAGTACTATGAGCAGTAGCATTGATCGACGGTATAATACCGTACGACACATAAAATTATGCAAATTAGTGGCTAAAGTACAATGTTGTTCTATCGTTATGTTAACACAATTGAGGTGTTAAATCGTGAACCTCACTACGGTGTCGGACCAATTCGCTCACCGTGCCACACACTGTTAGAGTATAAAATTAAGCACAAGCTAATAGATAAAATATTAATTTGATAATTCGATCTTTTTATGGTCGTTGATTAAAATCTAGACGAGGGACAGAAACGTAATAACTTTGATTTTAAGTGTTAATTAATCAAACAAAGAGCTAATGATTGATTGAGAGTATAAACTAAGGTATATATAGTCTTGTCATAAAAAGACAAAACGACAGCGTTTTATTAAAAAGCAAATACAATAATTGAACTTTCAACAAACACTTGAATCATAACTACCAACACTTAGTTTTTTTTTTTATTGACCAATAATTAATTAATTTAATTTTTGGTTATATATATAAGTGGTTATTACTTTCTTTAATTTAAAATTTAATTAATTACAAATAATCTAGCACGTTGTCAAATTAGAAAAATGGTTAATTTACGAGCAGAATATATCGGTGGTTATTACTTTATGGCGTGTTCGTGAGAACATTGAACCCCAACGGGTGGATTATGAGATACATTAGGCTCTAAGGGGTAGATGGTGACATTGGACTATTACAAATGGTATTAGAGCTAGAAATAGGGCGTTGTGCCAAGAGAATACTAGGCCTTTGAGGAGGTGGATTGTGAGATATGTTGGACCCCGAGGTAGGTGAATTGTGAGATATGTTGGATCCTTCCCTCGAGGAGGGTGGATTGTGAAATACGTTGGGCCCCAATGAGGGTAGATGTGATCTCGGACCATTAAAAATGGTATCAAAGTCAGACACGGGGTTATGCTAGTGAGTACGCTAGGCTCCTAAAAGGGTGGATCGTGAGATACCTTATGCCCAAAAATAGTCGTGATTATTAGTCGTGGAATTTGGCGTTTATTTTCATGTATAAAAATAAATATTTATCTTGAATTTTTTTTTTTAAATGTCAAAATTTTTGCAGGAATAGGAAAGGTTGAAAGAAAACGGAAAATAATAAAGTAATAATAATAAATAAAAATATTGAAAAAAAAAAGGAAGAAAATCAATGGAAAAGGGTCAAAGGCACGTCTCGGAAGACTTGTCTGTGAGAAGCAATTGTTCATGGTTTGGTTGAAGAAACAATACAAGCTGTCAAAGCAGCCCACAATCACAATGTCAATTTCCTAAGCTTTCTTCCATTTTCAAGGCTTTCAAATTCGATCCCTCCTGTTCTTGCTGATCTTGGAGAATCAGGGGAGTTGAGGAAGACGAAGCGAGGTCGATGATGGGGGTGCCTGCAACTCTGGGCGATGATTTTCTGCGAGAAAGAGCGGCGAAGATGAGAGAATCTCTGCAAAAGAGCCAAACTATTACCGATAACGTCGTCTCGATTCTCGGCTCCTTTGACCACCGTCTTTCTGCTCTCGAAACCGCCATGCGCCCTACTCAGGTCTGCTTTCCAATCGGTTTACTATCTGTTTGATTCCCTAGAGAAAAGAGCAGCGAAAAGTTCTCTTGTCGAGAAATTTTTCGAGTGTCTTGGTTGATCCGACCAATCGATCGGTTGACTGCCTTTTTACTATGCGAGAATCGTTAGCTTTGGTTTGGCATTTTGGTTTCTGTTCTGGTTTTCGCGAGAATCGAATTTCAGATCCGGATTTTGCCTTTTTTTTTTTGCTATTTTGGTTGTTTAATCTGTCTGCCCGATCTTCGGTTCGTCTATTCCCATGTTTATTTTGTGGTGCTGTGGTTCTAATCCTTCATTCTTACTGCTTAGACTTTTGTAACTTTTGCAGATCAGAACCAATTCTATTCGTAAAGCTCACGAGAACATTGATAAGACTTTGAAGGCTGCGGAGGTCATTTTAGCACAGTTTGATCTCTCTCGCCAGGTTGGTCTTCTTGATACTTAAGAGTTTATTAGTTCACTAAGTTTTTTATGCATCGACTTAGTTGCGTACGAGCTTTAAAATCTCCAATTCAAAGCCAACAGCCACCTGAAACTGACAACAAATGTGCTAATTATGATTGGTCGGGTGGGTGAGGGAGATGTTGATGGTGCCAACTTTAAGTGAACTTCAAGCCTAGGAAACTACTGTCCAAAGTCATTTTAGAAAAGTTCTAAGCTGCTTATTTTGCCTTTTATCAAACCCAAATTTTTTCTATATCTTGCAATTCAGGGTCACCATAAATTATGATGGCAGTTGTGTGTATTTTTATTTGGTTCTCATTGCACTTGGGAAATTTTGTAAGAGCATTTAATCTAGATGCATGGGAACGCTTGAATCTCACCCAAGAAACTTGCAAAAGAGTAACAGTGTTGGTGATGAAAAATTTTCTTCCATTCCAAACTCTTTGTTTTTTCTTTTGGAACTCTCTGATGCCAGGATATCAAAAAAAAAAAAAAAAAAAAAAAAAAAAAAAAAAAAAAAAAAAAAAAAAAAAAGTTAATTTTATTTGAAATATAAAGTGTTTATATAAAGTTTGTTATGAATGAGGATCATATTACCAATGAGTGGACTACTGATTTTGAGAAAATCTATCATTGGAGCTTTCTTAACAAAGTTACTATAGGAAGGGCTTAGGGATTACGTGAGATCTCACATCGGTTGGAGAGGGGAACGAAGCATTTCTTATAAGGGTGTGACACGTTTTAAAATTGTGAGGCTGACGGCGATACGTAACAGGTCAAAGCAGGCAATATTTGCTAGCGGTGAGATGAACTATTACAAATGGTATCAAAATCAGACATCGGGTGGTGTACCAGCAAGGACGCTGGGCCCCAATGGGGGTGGATTGTGAGATCCCACATTGATTGGAGAGGAGAACGAAGCATTCCTTGTAAGGGTGTGGAAACCTCTCCCTAGCAGACATATTTTAAAACCGTGAGGCTGACAGTGATACGTAACAGGCCAAAGCGAACAATATTTGCTAGCGGTTGGCTTGGACTGTTATAGAAATTCCCTTATCTCAGGTTTGGTTAATTGTAAGCCTGGGTAGGATGTTTGCCACTAGGGGATAAGCATGCTGATTCTTTTATCTCATTTTCTAGTTGTTGTGGATGCCCTTAGCAAGTTGGTTTGTCATGAATATATATGGGTTTGATTGGGGATTCTCTTTTGGGGAGAGAGTAGGTTCATCTTTCTCATCTTTAATTTCCTGATGGTACAGTCTTTTCTACTCAGGTTGAGAGTAGCCTTTTATTAATCTCAATCATATCGTGTATGGTTTTAAGATTGTCTTCAATTTTAAGATCAATAGGAATAAGGGTCCTGTGATTGGCATAATTGCTATGACCAGTTTAGCATTTTGCTCATCTAACTATTGTTATGGTGTGCAGGCAGAAATGAAAATTCTCAAAGGGCCTCATGAGGATTTGGAGAGTTATCTCGGGTCAATCGGTCAGTTAAGAAACATTATTAAATTCTTTAGCAGCCAGAAAGGTTTTAAGAGTAGTGAGGTAGTGCTGAATCATGCAAATAATCTGCTTGCAAAAGCCATCTCAAAGCTTGAAGATGAGTTTAGGCAGCTATTATCTTCATACAGGTTTCTACTTTTTTTTTTTTTGGAAGAATTCTACATACATGCATATTACTCGAGCTTAAGTTTTTAATATTTGTCGGGGGCAATTCAGCAAACCTGTGGAGCCTGAGCGTCTTTTCGATTGCCTGCCAAAATCGTTGCAACCATCTTCAGACTCTCCTGGTCATCATGATGATTCAAATGGAAAGAATCCCTCCTCAAATCACCATGCTGCACATCATGATAATAGCTTGGAGACTGCTGTCTTCACACCTCCCACTCTCATACCTCCTCGTGTTCTACCACTGCTACACGAGTTATCGCAGCAGATGGTTCAAGCTGGTCATCAGCAGCAAATTCTAAAAGTCTATAGGTATGAACCTCTATTTTTCTATAAAAAATTCTTACTGTAAATATGAATTGATTTTTCCTGCGCCTTTGGCCGTATCCTCATTCATATACCATACCTTGAGGAGCTGATAAAAACCCCAGTTAGAATCGAAGTAAAACTATCTATTGGTATGACATTGACATTTCTTCTTTAAGTTACAGTATGGTTAAATAGACAAATGAGAGTTTCAAGATCTGGGAACAAAATCTCGGAATAGAAATTCCCAGCTCAAACATCTACCCTAAAATGACTTCATCAGCCATCTCCAAGAATAAATTTTATGCAAGATAGAAAAGGCTTATACCAATATCTTCTTTTGGCCAGGGATACCCGTTCAGTCGTTTTGGAAGAAAGCCTACGGAAATTGGGAGTTGAAAAACTTAGCAAAGAGGATGTCCAGAAGATGGCATGGGAGGTTTTAGAGGCCAAAATTGGGAACTGGATTCATTTTATGCGTATTGCAGTAAGACCCGGAATATTTTATCTTTGATGAGATTTTCCTGTGGCTTCCAAATAATTGTTATGATCAATCACAGGTTAAACTACTGTTTGCTGGAGAACGACAAGTGTGCGATCAAATATTTGAAGGCTTCGAATCGCTTAGAGATCAATCCTTTGCTGAGGTT